TCCGACCAACCTCCAGCCCTCCACTGTGGTAGATGGATCATGGACGCTCCCTACTTTCAGCCACCTCCCTTTTTTCTCCTATCCTGCGCTACCCCGGGTGGCGGTGTGTTCAAGTAGAACGGGTCCTCGCCGTCCGACGCACAAGACGTTGATGCCTACCTATGGGACAACTTGCTCGGCTGCACAATAATGGACGGCAGCTTGCCGTCGGGGACTGTATACGTCGGCCTGACAGTGTTGTTTGGCATCGTGGTGGTGGTGGTGCTGCTGCTAGAAGGCGCGGCAGGCCGACGAATTCATCGACGCGGACACATTCGTGTAGCATGTGCGGCTGCTGCTAGAAGGCGCGGCCAATTACGGCTGGATCATGCTGTGGAGGCACTCCTATATATGACATGGAATCTGACTTTAGTGTCAGGCTGCGCAAAAGAAAACCAAAAAGAACAGGTAAGAGTTTGGGTTCTGGTTGATTTTATCAGCAGTCGCATCTTTCAACAGGCTATAATGTTTTGTTTGACAAAATTACAGCGACGAGCGCATCCTTATATTACAAAAATGGAATGGTGCGTAAAAGATCAGTCTTCTGTCGTTTCTAAATTTTTTTCCTTGCACATGATATATTTGTATAGTTCAACCAGCGTCTAATTAACTTAGTCCATACAGTGATGGTGCTTACAGAACCTAACTCAAGAATCTGCTGCCCCTACTTCTTACCACCTGGCACATTCAGGCAACCCGATCAAGGTTCTGGCAAAATCCATATACACCCGTGCCTTTGCCCTTTGCAGTCCATATCACCGAGGAGCAACGAGTATCTTCCTGGTGCCACCACCAATAGGTTTTGTGAGTTATGTCACCTCCAATCTCAGTGGAGTGGTCTCTCGGCGTCTGTCAAATTTTACTCTTACAACTTTCTTATGCATTCAACCAAAGTGGAGATCAATATCTAGCTTAGTTGCTTGCTTATTAGTATTCGCAACAGAATACAGTTTTACAGGGTATGGACAAATCCATGAATTATTCTGGACCCGTTGGATATTCTTTTTATTTATTTTCCTAAGTTGTTGACTGGATTTAAATTTTGCCTAATTCATCATGTAGGAAAGACTGTAGTAAATCTCTACCGGTTGTCGCCGTCAATATTTCTCAACTACCTTTAGCAGCATTCTAAAATATCATATGTGCTCACTAATGAGGTCACAAGAATATGGTTATATGATAATATTTTTGTACTCAAATGTTACATGCCAGAATTCGTAGCTTATTTTCATTTATGTGTGTGCCTGCTTGCAAGAATACTTTTTAAAGCAATATTAAGGAGCTAGAACATTGCTGAAAACTAATTTCATTTGCATGCTGTATCGGCAATTTTGAACTATTTATTGAATGCAAACTCCACTCGTGCGTTACACCGATCTTGAGCTTGCGAAATTAAATCACATCTCCAACAACCGATCTGACACATACTAATGTTTATCAAATCATCATTAGTATTAGTGTATATGAGTGCCCATGCTTGGCAATATGACTCATCTTCAAATACTGTTTGCAAAGCATTTGTCTTTTTTGATGCGTACTTAACCACATGCTAATTTCATGCCGACAACCCCCCAATACGCCAACTTTCTAATGACTGTCGAAACTAATCCGTTTAGCATTACAAGTCTACTACATGTCCCGCAGCAACGCGCGAGGTATCCATCTAGTTCTATATATGGCTTGGCACAGTGCATACAGGCGGGCCATTTTCGTAGCTTGCCACATCGGCCCGTGATTGGGTTGGGTTCTAAGCCATGACTCCGAACCTGAGTCGTCAAACGGGTGGAAGACACGTGCGGGTGTGGGGTCAGCCCTGTCGCTGGAGATAGCTGTGGGCATTGGGTTCCATTCATCGGTGGCGACTACTCGCTCCGTAACCTAGTGCGATGGCTGGTATTATTTCAAAAATGTTAAGCAAGCATTTGAAAAATATTAAATGTGTACAGAAAAAATGTTGATCATGTATTAAAAAATGATAAAACAAATTTGATAATGTATATAAAAATGTTAATCAAGTATTTTAAAAAAAGTTAAGCAACAATTTGGAAAATGTTGAATGTGTATAGGAAAAATGTTGATCATGTATAAAAAAAATAAAGATTTTTTTATCATGTATATAAAAATGTTAATTAAGATTTGAAAAAAATGTTGAACAAGTATTTGAAGAATGTTAATCAAGCATTTTAAAAATGTTAAATATGTTTAGAAAAATGTTGACCATATGTTCCAAAAAAATGTTAATATTACAGTTTAAAAAAATTAATTAAGGATTTGAAAAAGTTAAAATATGCGTAGAAAAAATGGTGATCATGTATTAGAAAATGATAATCTGGTATTTAGAAAATGTTAATCAAGTAGTTGAATTTTTAAAAAGTTTGTATAGGAAAGTATTGACCATGTATTAAAAATGATGAATTTTTTGATCATGTATATAAAAATGTTAATCAAAGATTTGAAATTATTTTGAACAAGTATTTGAAAAATTTTAATCAAGCATTTGAAAAATGTTAAATATCTTTAAAAAATGTTGACCACGTGTTCCAAAAAATGTTAATATTGCATTTAAAAATTATTAAGCAATCATTTGAAAAATGTTAAAATGCATTGAAAAAATGGCAATCATGAATTAGAAAATATTAATGTGGTATTTAAAAATGCAATCAAGTAGTTGAATTTTTGAGAAAGTGTGTATAGAATGTTTTTGACCATGTATTAAAAAATATTAGTCTCATATTTAAAAATTGTTAATAAAGCATTTGAAAAATGTTTAAATGTGCATAGAAAAAATGTCAAGTATGTATTAAAAATGTTAAATTTGTATTGAAAAAATGTTAATCGTGTATTAGAGAAATGTTGTTGCATATACAAAAATTGTAGAATGAAAACCAAAAGAAACAAAGAAGATAAAATTCGAAAATCAAAAAAGAAACAAAATAAACCAAAGTAAAAAGAGAAAAAATAAACCGAAGAAACAAATGTGAAAAGAATGAAAAGACAAACAAAACCAGAGAAGAAAAGTGAAAATAAAAGGAAAGAAGTATTGAAAACCAAAAGAGAAACAAAAAACTGAAGAAAAAAAAGAAGGGAAATGTGTAAAAACCGGCTCTTTTCCTTCTTGTAAGTGCCGGCGTACGTATTGTAGACGAACTTGATGTCAGCGCAGTGGCTAACAGAGCTGCGGAGCAATGACGAGATCCCAACATCTTTCCCTCACGCGCACTCATTTTTAACTCCATTTTATTCGAAAATATGCGCTAGTTGGCCGGTCTGATACTGTCGCCATCGACGCGAGAGGTAGTTCCGTCCCGCTTAATGCGAGATATAGCACTTGCACCCAAACAGTCCAACAGGCTGATAATCGAAATCACTAATTAAAGAGTATTCGTTGTAAAGAGCACTCCACTTTCCCAGGTCGTGACAAATGGCGCACATGCAGCGCGCCATTTGTCGCAACCTGGAAGTTTTCTTTTTTTTCGTAGATCTATTTATTCAAAACGTTTTATCTCTTAAACCGTGCGTCCAAATCTCGAACCATTTTCACCATTGGATTCCTCGCGTCGAGATTTTCAAAACTAGATTCCATGTTGATAGGTTTTGCAAACTTTTTTTTTCACGAAAAAACCGGACCGGAAGCATGATTTTTTTCCCTTTCCGAAAGAGGCACGTCCATGCCTCTCGCAAAATCACAACCGTGTCTCTCATGGAAGCAAACCCGTGACTCTCGTGGAAGGAAAAAAACAAAAAACGATTTTTTTTTCGTTTCCAAGAGGCACGGCCGTGACCCTCGTGAAAGCAAAACCGTAACTCTCGTGAAAGAAAAGAAAAACAAAAAACGCGTATTTTTCCCCTTTCCGAGAGGCACGGCCGTGACTTTCGCGAAAGCACAACCGTGCCTCTCGCGAAAGCAAAACCGTGACTCTTCCGAAAGAAAAAAAAGAAAAAACGCATTTTGTTTTTCCTTTTCCGAGAGGCACGGCCGCTCGCGAAAGTACAACCGCGCCTCTCGTGAAAGCAAAACTGTGACTCTCATGAAAGAAAAAAAAACAAAAAACGTGTTTTTTTCGTTTTCGAAAGGCACGGCCGTGACTCTTGCTAAAGCACAACCGTGACTCTCGCGAAAGAAAAACCGTGACTTTCGCGAAAGGAAAAAAAACGTGTTTTTTCGCGCAAAATTTTTTTTTCCAATTTTTTTATCGAAAAACTAAGAAAGACCGTGGGAAAATCAAAACATCGAAAAAACCCGTTTAAAAAGCCGAAAACACATGCTGAAAAATAAAAAAACAAAATTCGAAGGGAGCGTCCAGAACGCGACACGTGGCAAATGGCTGAAAGCGCACCAAGTGACGTTGATCATTGCGAGGCTCCCGAAGGAGCGCTCGTTAACTAGTTGCTCCCGCTGATAATACACGGTCTGGCGGGCCAAACATGCCACCGGGCCGGCACGTTTACGATTGGGCCGTGTCTGGGCATGTGGTGGGCCGGGCCGTGCCAGCCCATCTGGCAGGTTTGGGCAGGGCCCAGAAATCCGCGCCAAGTGTCACGCCGAACCACCAGCACCGGTGACCCCTCCTCTATCCATCCACTCCCGCCCACGCTCGCAGTCGCAGCTCACAGCCCGGGAAGAGATGATGCTGATGAGGCCGCGGTTCCTCTCCCCCTCGCCGCCCTCCTCCCGCCGCGAGCCCCGCCCCCGCACCCTCTCCGAGGCTTCCAGAGTCTCCTCCTCCTCCGCCCGCCCTCCCGGCCCCGGCCCCCGCCCCTCCTCCAACAAGCAGCGCCCGCCGCCCAACCTCCGCCGCCTCACCGCCCGCATCGTCGACCTCACCCGCCGCAGGCAGCTCGCCCAGGTACGGTACCCCTGCTGCCGACCCATTCGTTCCGTTGGTCTTAGATTGGGGGTGGTTTCCCGTTCTCATTCAAGGCTCTGCTGCGCGCGTGGCGGACGCTCCTCCGCGCAGATCATGGCGGAGGTGGAGGCGTCCAAGCGGCGCGCGCGCTCGGGAAGGGGAGGGGGCGTCAACATCATCGTGATGAACGCCGTGCTCGAGGCCTGCGTGAGCTGCGGCGATGTCGACCTCGCGGTCCAGCTCTTCGACGAAATGCGCGGGCCCATGGGGTGTGGCGTCGACGGCGTCTCGTATGGCATCCTGCTCAAGGTATGCCCCCTCTCCCCTTCCACTCGTGTACCAGTGCTGCCTGAGACATTCATTGTTTGGACCGCTATGATTCATGAACGCTCTAGGTGCCATTTCGAGTTTTTGCGTCATATTCAAATGCATTCACCATACTCTAGGAATTCCATAAAATTTCCACCTCAGATTGTCTGAGCCATCAATGTGTTAACTCTGTATGAACAGCTGCCTTCTATTTGTGCTCCTCAGAGTAATCCTTCTGTAATCTCCAGGTTACATTCTTGCACCTTCAAGGGATTAACTTCAGTGCTATCTCTGAAAATACGTGGTGTGTTTTTGCTGATTGTTTAGTTTAAATAAGGATCTAGTAGAATCTTACAATTAATGTGCTCTAATTGAAGGGTCTGGGGATAGCTAGAAGGATTGATGAAGCATTCGAGATACTGGAATCAGTTGAGAAAGATACTTCTGATGGGAGCCCCCGGCTCTCTCCTCATCTTATATGTGGTTTTCTAAACGCCCTTATCGAAGCAGGTTGGTGCAAAGATGGACCGTTTTACAATAAGTTTGTATGTTGCACCAAGTATATTGCCCCTTATGCTCAAAATCACTAGAGACACCAGAGACACCTACTAGAAGTCTAAGAAGAACACTAGGGCGAGGATAAGTCATTGGTCGGAATTATAAAAATAGCTTATACATAAAAATCAACTGATATCAGAATCAAAGTCCTAAAATGCGTGGTGGTTGCCGGGGTGTGGCGTTCGGTGGCGGTGAGTGTTAGCCGGGGTGAAAATCTGCTCTAGTGTTATTGAAGGCGTCGTCGCGGCCCTCATTGCCCGTCGTGTTCTCCAGGGGAAACTCTGATCCTTGGGTCAGGTGGTGGTGGCGCTCCGGTGTCGTTTCCTTCCTGAAGGCGCCGCCTTGGAGCCCACGGTTCGTCGTATGCGGCTTCATCTCTTCGCGGTGCCGTGTTCACGGCTGAGGACCTCGGTTGCTCTCGTAGTGCTTGGGGTGGTGTTGTTGCGCTCAGCGCCTATGTATCCTGCCTTGGGTGTGTGCGTGTGTTGCAGTGGCGTGCGTCTGTACCGGGTTCTTGATGATCGTTGCTTTATATATGAAGCGGTGCGAAAGCCTTTTTCGGCAAGTCCTAAAATGCAATTGGCTCATCCGTGGGAAAGCAGTATTCTGGCGTATAAGCAGTATTCTGGTTACACAGGCATGCCCAAGCCCCAAAATATAGTGTTAGTTTCAGTGAGTAAATTGTATATTATTGTGTGTATATCAAAATGGATTGCACACATGAACCACCTCTAAGCAATATTTTCAGATCACACCACATTTTGTTGCAATCTAGTTTTGCTGAACTTACTTTATAATATGCTGTGGAAAAATAACCATGGGAGTAGGAAAAAGTTAGTTGAACATACAGTAAAATAGCCAAAGCAGTTTGGACAAATGAGATTATCATAATCCACCACAATGCCGAGTTGAGCTCTATTGAAGCAGATAACTTGGCTATGAAGCCACTAACAAATACTCCCTCCGTCCCATAATATAAGAGTGTTTTTGACACTAATATAAGAGCGTTTTTTACGCTAGTAGTATTGCAATTTTTTTTTAAACGGAGGCAAAAGATTTGCCTCATACATCAATTAAGAAGAGAGTTGCCCGGTTAATCAACAGAAAACCGGGCGAAGACCGTCAGAACCCGCTCACAATATACCCCACACACACCACTCTGAAGAAAGCCTCGTTGAGGTATAAAAGGCATGTCACTACTGAATACTTACTCGTATAGTGGAGATAACAAAAGGAGACATCATCACTGACTAAATAGCCCTATGTACTTAGGTTTTGGGTGTTTTTTTTGTTGCATAGTGTAGTGGAGCTAAGTTTGACGTGTTGCTGATTGGTTATGCTTATGACATGTTCTCATTACAGATTATTTGTTTTTATCACAATATTCTATGCATAGCTCTTTACCACTGGAAAGTTTTCTTACCTACATTAGCTGTCCGGTTACTGATGAAATTGAACTTCACATTTTGTCCAGGAGATATGAGGCGTGCCAATGCTCTTGTTGCTCGTTTTCGCCAAGTCCTTTACGAAGGACAGTCTGTGTTACTATACAACTTACTGATGAAGGTATCTCTTAGTTTCCCTTGCAATTATTCCCCTATGTTATGTTATTTTGCAATAGTGTCTCAATTGCGGTTTCATAAGTTTCTGAATTGAAAACTCTCCAGGGATACATGAAAAGCAACTTCCCTCTTGGAGCGTTAACTGTTAAAGATGAGATCTTGCGTCAAGGGTTGAAGCCTGATAGATTGACGTACAACACCATCATTTTTGCATGTGTAAAATCAGCACAGATTGAGAAGGCTTTCCAATTTCTTGAAGATATGAAGGTGTCACACAGGGGTTGGAAAGGCCAGTTTTAGCCACAAAATTGTCTTTTATACATGTAGTTGCCTCGTCAATGAAAATTAGTTGCTCATAAATGCAGGATGAAGCTAAAAGGGATGATAATCCTGAACTCCTCCCGGATGCTGTTACCTACACAACATTACTTAAGGTTATTCATTGATTGCCTTAAATACTTTGACATGCTATTTTGGTTAATTGTGTATTCAGCATCATTTAATGATTTTTAATTGTGCAAGTTATTGAAGCATGTTGCAGGGTTTAGGAAATAGCCAAGATCTTTATTCAGTTCTGAAGATTGTGGTGGAGATGAAATCGTCACTTGTTTCAATTGACAGGACTGCATACACAGCTATGGCAGATGCCTTTCTAGCTTGCGGGTCCATTGACGGTAAGCTATATAGCAATTTTTGGTGGGCCAATTTGCTTGGTAACACACTGCATCTTTACAGGTTGGAAAACAGAAGTGGTATATCACTAAGGGCATGTACAGTGGTTGATAATGCAGTCCTATCTTAAGTCCGTCACATAATCTAGAGATGGCAATAGAAAATGATGTACAGTGGGTTATCTCTTAATGTTATCTCTAGTAACTAGATATACCTAAATATGTGGTGAGAGATATTGTTCCTAAGAGATCATCTCTTAATTAAGAGAAGGCAAGCCTTTTCTTTTGGTTTCTCTTTCCTTCACCTCACCATTTATCCTTCATGGCACTCATAAGATAACACCATTGTACACACCCTAACAAGTGGCCTAGCTCCCAGCTGTCATCCTAAAATTTGATGGTATTTTTTAATTGAGAGACCTTAGTAGTGCTACTGTTCTAACGCCCCTTATTTTACCATTTTATATCCCAAATGGGGAAACGGCATATCCAATTTATAAAAGTACATTTAGGCTTGTTTGTGTCAATTGACAGAGACTAAACCCAATTCTTTTTGTTCTTATGGATTTTTGTTCAGTTTTCAGTCCCATCTGAAGGAATTAGGTCTAATCCCTTTCCATCCAAACTAGCCCTCATGATTTTTCTTTTTTTAGAAAAGGAGGTTGAACCCCCGGCCTCTGCATCAATCGATGCATGCAGCCATCTTTATTAATTATTCCACAAAGGTCTGACAAGAACATAGATCAAATCACCCGAAGCCACCACTCACACCTACAAATTCGATAATGAGGAGTGCTCTCACTCCCCATATCTACAACCAGTGTCGTCGCCGATCCATCTACATAACGTATCGGGACTAACAGCCGGTGCAGCAGACCTAAAGCGCACACCACATGCACACGCTTTAGAAGCCGCATCATCCTTGCCAGTCCGGACATCCATCGACGCCACCACGGCGCCCAACGGCGCCACCGCCCTGCGCTCGTCCGTCTAGACGTGAAGACTCTGGAAGATCTGTCGTGCGTAGCACCTGCCAACCAGGCATGACTCAGCGTAGCACCTGTCGGCCAGGCATGACTTGACAACTCCACCGAAGCTCCGTGCAAGACGGAGCCGCTCCACCTCCTGCCTGTGTCTTCTAGCGCTGCTCCACAAACGATGCTCCCAGGAGAGAAACGGCACCGCAATACTGCCATCGTCCGATCTGGAGAACCAGATCCTAGGGTTTCCCCCGAAGCAGTGCCCATCACCAGCAACCGTCAAGGACCCACACAGTGCCCACCACCACTCAGCCCTCAAGGCGACGCCTTCAGGAATTCTTAACCAAGCTATTAATTTCCAAATCATCCTATTCAGGGATCTTACGCCAAAATTAGAGCTTCTGTCATGATTGGAACCTGGTTTCCACATCTGTTTTTTTTCTTCCATCGTATTTGATTTATGACCCAGCATATAACAAGTCGATGTTTACTTGCCTAAACCTCTGTAACAATTAAGCCTTGTGTGACCTTCTGTTTTTGAGAAAAACATTACGTGACTTTTTTCCTTTATAGTTCTTAGTTCCTGGTTGGTCCAGGATGCCAATCTGACATCAATGGTTTATGTGAACTTAAATATGGAAAGACAATCATGACCAGCATATTGGGAGATAAGTAGTGCTATTGCATGTTCCATTATATTTGGACCATATATTGTGAGAAAGGAAGAAACCTAAACATTTGTATGCGACAATCTTGCAGCGCCCTTAGTTGTCACCTCTTACAAAAATCTTCTTGCACAATGTAACTACAAATAGAATTCTCGTGTTTGAATATGCAGCTTGGTTGGTTTAAAATATATTACTACCTTCTGGGTGTAGATGTCCTGATATGCTTCTGTTGTTGTAGGGGCTCTTTGCATTTTTGGTGAGATAATAAAGCAGGCTGGCGACAACAAAGACTTGAGGGCCAAGCCTCATCTTTATCTTTCAATCATGAGAGCTTTTGCTACTATAGGTGATTTTGATATGGTAAGGAGATTGAAAGAACGCATGTGGCCAGATTCAGTTGGATCCATTAGCCGTTCAGTTAAACAAGAGGCAGATGAGCTATTAATGGAAGCTGCTATAAATAACAATCAGGTACGCTGAACAAGAGGCAAATGAGAAATTTATTTGGATTTTCTGTCCATGCAATACTTCGGTCAGTTGATTGCTAAGTCTACTGAAGTTTTACTGAATTTGGTAAAATAACAAGACCTTTTGTAGTGGGATGCATACTATGTAAGAGAACAGTTGCACCTTTAGTGTTGACATGCTTACCATGGACGCACCCGAAAGTATATTCTGTTAAAAGTCTAACCGTTGAAGGGATCTTGCCCAATGAACCAACTTCAAAGTCCTTTCATGCAAATATATTCTCATGTTGTTTCAAACCTGTCAATAATTCACTGTCTTCAGTTCGTGTAATTTTTTTTGAAGTCACATTGATGTTTTCATCGTTTTCTACTGTTCCCCATTTGTCATACCACACAAGATGGATACTGTATTATTATTATTTTGTTTCTTAATTGCATGATTTTAATCACTTTAAAAGATTGTGTTATGTGCTGTCCAAATCTTGTGAATAGATTCCTCTATTCTTTTTGTTTGTCTAAGAAAGATCTTGGCAAGACTGAGTATATAACTATAAAGGAAAAAACAGGTCTTCTCCAGTCATCCTGATTGGATAAACTCCAACATTTTCCCTTCAGATTTGACTATGTTACTAGATGCAATACAGCAGTGCAATTATCATGATTCTTCTCTGTCTCTAGATTTCTTCACTCCTTGAGTGTCTTCTCTCTTTGCCAAAACGGTCTTGAGATTTTCAAATGCCCATGTTCATGCGACTTAATGCCTTGCTGGCTGATTTATTGTTGTACAGGTAGATGTGGCTAGAAGACTTCTCAGAAGAATAGTTAACGGGAAGGAGCATTTCTCTTGGAGAAGTAGAGTAGGCCTGGTATGTTCTTTTAATTCTGCATTGAATTTTGTAATCTAAGTACCGATTCTACTTCATTCATTGCTTCGATTGTAAAAGTACATATATGGAATCTCAATACGACTTTGCGATGTTTTGAGTTCTGAGATTTAAATGTGCTTGGCATGTTTCTTAGTGTTAGCTCGGTTAGGGAACAATTGTGCCTAAGTTATACTTTTATTGTGTTACTAGTATAAAATAGTTGTAGTGTTCATGTTGAATATAATGTCAATTGCTTTGAGCACTCTGATTTGTTATTGTATGCATGTAACTTAAGAGGCTATTGTCTCTGTTTTGATCTTGGTTTTAAATATTGCTGTCCTGTCCAAGTGTCCAGTATTATTTCTTCTGCTCTAAATTCTAAACGCATTCTTCAGCAAACTCACTGTGTACTGAGATGAGATAACATGCTTTTCTATTATTTTAATCTGGAGGCGAATATGGCCATCTTTCTATTAGTTTCACTAATTAAAGTTCAGGAGCATTGATCTGCTTTCTAACTACTATATCTCAGGATTTTCTTCCTTCTGACACCATATTTCTTTGGTGAGATACGCATGCTCTAGTTATTAGATACAGTATTCATGATATTGTAATGACCTCCTGCCCTGTCAAATTGAGAGGATACAAATCTGACTGGTGCATATGAAGTAATAAATCAACTTATGAAGACCTGTGACTGAACTTTACTTGCCTGGGATACTAGCTGTTAAGGGTATCCCCAAACTCTTGATAGCCAAGGCACCACAAGCCTTGTTTTTCTAGCTGAATACGTCTTCCTCTGGCCGACCCTAAAACATAACTGGTATCCTAACAATCGCCGGAAAGTTATTTCTGCGCCAGTGTTTATGTGAATGCTTTCGTTTTATCTCTTTTCAACCCCAACCCCAATCTTGGGGCCCAGCTTGTATATTTTAATCCGCTGGCTCACCAATCAGACCCACTACCCATCCACGAAATGGCGGCGGTTTCAATATAGGGTGCAAGTTTTCAGCTGGAACATTTTCTATGGATTCATTTACCGAAACAGGCTTTCGCCCCGCTATATTAATATAGCAACCACCCGATACATCCAGAAGTTTGACGCTGGGGCAAACAGCACAATCATGCCCAAAAGAAAAACAAGAGAAAATCAAGAGAAAGAAATGCCGGCAGCACCGGATGAACGAAAGCTGAGGCATCCCGCAACCGCTGCGCCCACCGGAAACATCCACCACGCTCCAATGCCATCGAGTCGCCGTGAACCAAGCAACACCCTCAACAAGGACTGCGACGACGACGACGCTGCTGCCCGGACGAATCCTAGGATTTCTCCCGGTACACGGAGGGAAGCGGGCGAGAGGTACTCCCGACGCCCTTCAAGAAGGTTGATGGCGCCCACAGGCGTCACCGCGCCGGTGCCGGGCGGACCCGAGAGGGATTTTGCCCTGCCCTTCATACCCACAACCCAGGACCAACCGGCGGCTCCACCATGCCAACCGCCCACCAACCTGCGCCACCACAGTCACGAGGACACCACCGTCGTCTCTCCACCGCAGACGCTGCGAGGCCGGCCGAACCAAGCGAGACCACCGCCGATAGGGACCGGGAGCACCACAACCACGTGGGAGGGGACAACCTCCACTGGCACAAGCCGTAGCAGACCGGACGCAGGCGCGGGAGCACGCTGGACCCCCTGCCCAGCCAGGCCCAGATCGGGCCCGTTAAGCTCCTGCCGCTGCGCTGCAGCCGACGCAGCGCAGAGCCGCCGATCCCAACGACCTCATCCCGCCAGCCCAGCTGGAGGAGACCCGTCGGAGGCCAGACCAACCCGCCCTGACCCAGATCGGGCCCAAAAGGGCCCGGATCTGGGCCTACAGGGCTTCGCCGGCCAACCCCCGCCGCCAGCCGCCACCGCCGCCAAAGGGCCGCGCCGCCGCCGCATCTGAGCCCGATCTACACCGGAGAACCGCCCGCCGAGGTGCACCATCACCGGAAACCGCCGCCCGAGCCGGGGAACCGCGAGGGGGAGAGGAAGAGGGCCGCCACCGCCGGCTTTGCCACGACGCCGCGCGGGCAACGCCCGGCCATGCCAGCCGGCGGCAGCGGCGGGAGGAGGGGTGGGAGGTGGGGGCTGGGCGGCGAGGGGAGGGAGGGCCGCCCCGGTCGCCCCGCTCGGGGGGGCGGCGCGGGGGGTACGGGGAGCAACTCAGTAAGACTTTCTATGGATTCATTTCATGCAACTAACGGAGCAAATAGTTTATTCGAGCCTTGCATGCCTTTTGTTGTTTTGAAGGGCAGGAGCATAATTATCTCTCCTTGGTACATGAGCTCTCTCATGAAATGAATGCTTGCTTAGTTTTCATCTTATGCATTGCCAGTCTAGTTTCTGAAGTACAGGACCAACATCTACTCCCTCCGTATGAAAATATAAGACGTTTTTGTTGGCTAGTTTAGCCTACAAAAGTGTCTTATATTTTGGCACAGAGGTAGCAGGTGACAATAGCTAGTGCATGTTCTTTTTTTGTTTGAAGTTCCATGTGTTTGATGTATCTGGATTGGTGAAACTGCTAGGTTTTTTCGATGATGGGACTGGGTGCCAGGATGATATAGCAAATATTCTGTTTGTTTTGCCAGTTCTATGAACTTGATCTGATGAAGTGGAAACACGGTCATTGTTAAGTTTTGTTCCTTTCTGTTCATACCAGGTGGCACTCAAAGTTGAAACGCTATCTGGATTCACCAACTCTCCTCTTAGACCACATGTATTTCCACAGGTTGTGTATTGATTTCGTTTGTGTCTTATATCCACTTTAACTTGGTTATCTTAACTTCTGTCTAATGACATTGTAGATTCTCTTGAATGATCCTGTCGAGAAGTATATGATTCCGTTTCGAGAAAGTCAACCGTTAGGTGCTGACTTGATCTTGGAAAATGTTGCGATGCGATTCTTGAAAGACTCTGCGGTTCCTCTTGTGAATGACTGGGGAAGTTGTGTTGGAATAGTTCACAGCCGCGATTGTACCAAGGTATGAAATCTTTTGGAACAGCTGGAACTGAATTTTGTTGCAAGGAACAGTATTTTGACATCTAATGGGCGGCATAGTGCCTGGTGAGGTAGAAGCTGGGCGTGGCTGGCAGCATTAACTTACGCAGTTAAAAATCTGTGTTGTGTTCATTAGTTGCCCACTGTTAAGTGTTAACTAGAGAAGTAGGCTAGATGACCTGAAAATGCATGTACTGTTATTGCTTGGATTGGTCTAAAAAAGGTCAAGTATGGCGGTGCATAGGAGAGCGGCAAAAATGGCTCCGGAGCTCATTTGCTCCCCTCCCGCCTATAAACAGTAAAATTAAAAAATACTAGAAAAATTCAAAAAAAATCTGATTTTTTTGACATGGAACATGTTTGAGTGCTTGAGGACCGTGCCAATTTTCAGCTCGTTTGGATATCTAAGTAGCTCTCAACAAAAACAATAAAATTGGGGTATGTGAAAAAGTGTACTGTTCATGCACTATTCCGACCGATTTGGTTTTTTACTGAGAGCTACTTAGATGTCCGAATGAGCTGAAATTTGACAGGGACCTCACGCACTCAAACATCTTACATGCAAACAAAAATCAGTTATTTTTGAATTTTTTTAGTTTTCTTTTTACAGTTCTCCAAGATCAAATGAGCTCGGATTCAGAAATGGATATTCGGTAAGCACTATTGCCTATTGGTGTAGAGTTTGAGGAACACCGGTCACAAGGGTCGGTAGTGCCATTAGGATACTTGGTTCAGTTGTCCCTTGAAAGAAGAAGAAAAATGTATGGCCAACATCGTACGAGTCGAGTCGAATCCATTCTTTGGACGGTAGAAAAATGGTATGTAACTGTCGGTTTACTCGGAGGGGGTTAATTATTCAATAATTTCAATTTGCACGGAAGGACAAACCTATACTCCAGTTTCAATTGCAACATACTTCCTCTGTCCCATAATGTAAGACGTTTTTTCTGACACTACATTATGGGACGGGGGAGTATTTGATATTTTCTCTTGGAAGCATTCTCGTGTGATGCTGAACACTTATATTTTCCTTTTGCAGATGGACTCGCCTCTTCTTTCAATGGCGAGACCACCACTGTGCGTGCCTTGTTCAACCTCGCTGGAGCACGTCATTGATCTCCTCCTCAGAGAGAAGTGCGAGATGGTGGTGGTGGTGAAAAGCGGTAACATGTACGAAGGCAGCTACACATCCAGCTCAAGGCCACTGGGCGTCTTCTCCCTCGGTATCCTGTCGGAGGCCACGACCAACACGGCAAACACCCATGACGAGCGCGTCTCCGGGGCAGCACCACCCGGCAAGGACCCTGAAGCCCGCGGCCGTGGCTGAGTGCACGTAGCTATTCTTGTGCTGTTGTCTACCATGACTCGTCATCAGTGTGCTTATTAGCGCTGTATACATGTCGATGGAGAAGAGCGGAAAGTTTTAACCGTGGCAAATCTGTTATTAAGCTGACCCTACCGCTCTGTGCGAGTGATGTAACCTCTGATACATACGCGCAGCAAAGGTGTCAGTGGGCCAGAAATTCTCAATCGGTGTCGACTCTGGGTGATGCTCCACGGCGGTCCCGGCTTGCCGTACTCGCATCTTTGTCCAGTCCACACCACCAATTATGGGGGAGAAGAGCAGTGCTATGCATACCGTAGGTCGTCTAGCTAGCATTCTATTGCGGGAGAGATCGTAGCTAGGTCTGCCTGGCTGGCTGTTGTTACCTTTGTCCAGGTTTAGTAGATCAACAGTTCAACACGAGTGGGTATTAGTACGTTACTGTTGAGGTCCTCACGCACAGTGGTTTCTCTAGGTTCTGAATCTCTGATATTGCCATTGAAGGGCCTGTCTGACATGTGCCCCCTCAACGAATGAACAGAGCCGTTGGGCAGTAGCTTTATTGCTTGGTGCTTCCCGGGCAGAGCGTACGGTTACGACATTCACTCCGTTGGGCAGCACCACAGTACTAGGAGTATTCCGTACCTAATGTTTCTTTTTGAAAGTCATGCCCATGCTTCCTGCCTTCCTGGTGGTATCGTTACCATATTGGACTAAATTTTGTGTTTTGACCCTTTTTCCAAACCTATTCAAAATCTGACCCTAGTTTGTAATTTTTTTTAAGATTTGACCCTTTTACTATCGCCATAGACCATGACGGTAGGGTATAACAGCCTACCGCCAAGGACCCTGGTGATAGGGTTGCATGCCCTACCGTCAAAACCAGCCTAAGTATTGAACACAATGCATGCTTATGCCTACCGCCAAGCACCTTGGCGGTAGGGTTGTGCAGACTACCGCTAGCCCGTTTGGCGATAGAGATGTTTCCTACCGTCAAAGTCCTTGGCGGTAGGCTGTTAGACCCTACCGCCATGGGCTCTGGCGATAGCAAAAGGGTCAGATCTTGAAAAATTTCAACTTAGGGTCAGATTTCAAATAGGTTTCGAAAAAGGGTCAAAACACGAAATTTTGCCTACAACATGTAGGCGCCACGCCAGCCACGGGTTTGCATGGAGTCTGCTAGCTAGTTACAGCATGCAGCTACCCCGCGCCTTGGGTTTGCATGGAGTCTTCTGGTTAGAGCATCTTCAACAGACGCGTAAAATTTTTAACACGTCACTGTAGCACTTTTAACGTGTCAGACCTAACATGGGTTACTAAATATTCAAAAATGCATATAAAAAAACACGCAATGCAAATTGTAAAGCGCACGCAATCTGACGCCCCAAATTTACAATTTCTAATAACGTTTTTTAGCGTGTGCCCAAAGCATTTTTGCGCGTATACTATTTTACAGTTTTTTCTGGAGCTATCTGGCACCCAAAAAAAATCTAACTTTAACGCGCGGAGCAGTTTTTGTGCACGTGTTGAAGATGCTCTTACAACACGATACTATGCACCGACAACAACGCGGCAAGCGCTGTAGAAGCAACCAAAAATGATAATGCGGCTCTACACCGGAGCACAGTGGAGCACGTACGTGCTCACTTATTTTCCTGTAACAATGTTAAAGGCGGTACGTAAGCTTTTGCGCAGCCCTAGCCATCTCACCGGTCGCCGAGGCCGGCTGGCTCGGGTCCGCAGCTAGTAGTACGCGGTACGCCTGCCACTGCCAGTGGCATCCATGTATGCAGCGTACACGCACCGCACCAGCACTGCCACGCGGCTCGCAAGGCTGCGACAAGATTTGGATCGATGGACCTCCTACCTTCCTGACGAGCGGCCTTTTTGGGTGACGGCTTGGGGACTGCCTTTCGGATAAAGCTCTCACGTTCCCCAAAAAGAAGGACGGTACGAGTGTCGCGCGCAACTGCCCTCACACAGACGGGCCGCACCGCACCGCACGGCGCGTAGCTACCTCTGCCTGCCGGCCGACGCCACGACGGCCGTGAACCGCGGTTCGCGCGTGCGGGCCGGCGCCGGCGCATGCACGCACCGCCGAGAAGCGCGACGGACGTACGCACGCACGTCCCCCGGCGGGCCGGCCGGATCCTGTAGAGCAGGCAGGTCTGCCCGGCCGCTTAGTATGCATGTATCTGCATGCACGCCACAGGATTACGTAGCGAGAGCAACGTCTTGGCCTCTTGGGTGTACGTACTATCTGCGCTGGCTTTCCGTCGATCACTGTATGCACGCGGGTTGGATCCGTCTAATGCGACCCTCGCCGAGTGGGTTAGAGCAACTCTAGCATACCTCACAAAAAAGTCCCGACCAGCAAAATAACCATTAAAATGCGGGTTAGTGTAGAAAATCCCGCCCGAACAGGTGCAGCAAACACGGTCAGTCTGTAAAAAAAATTTAAAAGGCGCGACAAAATCTCGGCCTCAACCCATGAATACGCGGGTTTTCCCTTCGCCCCTACGATGGCCTACATATAAGCGGAAGCGAATGGTGAAGAAGATATTTCAGCCCGTACTTTTCCCCACCAACCACCTCCCCTCTTCCCCTCGCCCCGTCGACGGGCCGCCGCCCAAGATTCCGGCGAAAGCAGCCGGTGGGAGCACGCCGAAAGGCCGCCACACGCACGAGGTTGCCCTCCGCCCCCTCATGCGTCGGCGGGCCGGAAAGTTGCGGATCTGCGGCCCTTCATCGCGGGCCGCCGGTGGCTGCGCAAGTGATGGAATGGTCGGGGAGCATCTCCAGCATCCCCAGCAAGGTCGCATCGCCGCATGCAGGTACGGGTTCGTCCTCCCGCCGCTGCCGATGGTTTGCGGGCATGGATTCGTCCTGCCGTCCACCGGGCTCGGCGCTTGCGCCGCGGCTCTGCGGCTCGCCGATGTCGCTCATACAGTGCGACGACTGCATGCGGACAGTACTGCGGCTAACTTTGGGCACACCAAAGCACCCCGGATGGGTGTTCTTCAAATATGAAAACGATGGGGTACGTGCTGTTTTCATTCGGCTCATTTTGATAGCTCATTCTTTGGTTCAATTGCGGTAGCTCATGTCGAACATCAACATGTGTGTCGGAAAATGGATGCTCATTTTGGTTTTGGGAACGCAAATACATTGATTTATTGATAGAAATATACTTAATAGGCGTTCGTGCACTCCGTAGTAGAATCAAAGGCAATGATGCGGCTGCATGTGCAACTAGAGGGGAAGCAACGTCTACTTCTTTTGAACCAAAGATGAAGAAAGAAGAATGCAAAATCAAGAATCCACAGATCAATAACGAATGCATTGAGAATATATTAGTCCAACTAGTGAGAGCAGTTATGGAAGTTGAAAATCTTCTAAAATGCATACTTGTGGTTCTTGTTTTTTTGTCTTGCTATTCTAGCAAAGATTTGGTGATGTCTTATGTATCCAGTGTTGTTGAAAAAAAATAAAGAAATGCATTATGTTGGATCAAATTAAGGTGCAAACTTAGGTTTTCCGGGCTGGGAGGAGCTGCGCCAGATCAGACCCCACAAAGCCGACCCGTAAAAAAGCATATTCCGCGAATATCATTTTTACGGGTCTGTTATGCGGGGTCTACATCTGCGGCCGTCCGCGTCGGCCCGCAAAGCCGTTTTTTCGCGAACTGCAAACATGTTTTACGGGCCGGTCGGATGCGAGGTCTGCTAGAGATGCTCTTAGCCCGGCGCCCCAAAACCGTTTTAAACGTCCGGGCGGACATCCCAGTCACTGACCGGTCACAAAAATACGACACAGACTGACTCTTTAAACGGGCCTTAAATGCCTGAGCTGACCGGTACCCTTATATCCAACCCAAATATGAGATGTGTATAGGGCGTCTGGGCACGTTCGCCATGTTGGACTGACGCTGGGGTCCCACACGGAATCGCCCGAGAACCCGGTGATCCGACGGATGTCTCCTTCGGTGGGGGTTGTGAACATCACATGGCGCCGCTCTGTCTCGTCACCCAAGGCCAAATCCGGCTATTTAAA